TGGCTTATGTTGGGGTTAGTCAAAGCAAATAGGTGTGTTAAATAAATAAATAATGGGCAGCATTTCTCCCCTGCTTATGTTGGGGTTAGTCAAAGCAAATTGGGCATGCTAAATAAATAAATAATGGGCAACATTTCTTCTTCCCTGCTTATGTTTGGGTTAGTCAAAACAAACAGATGTGGTAAATAAATAAATAATGGGCAGTTTCTTTCCTAATATGTTTTCCCAGACTGTGGTCTGAGCATCAAGAAGCTGCAGGGTGGGCAGAGGAAGGCAGCGATTCGGGGAAAACCTTCGTGCGGGTGGGAGCTGAGCTGCCCCCTGCCTTCCCCAGCGCTGCCGGGGCAGGAGCAGCCGGTGAGGGGCAAAACTGCCTTGAGGAGGGTATCCCAGCCGCTGTCCCATTCCAGCTCCTGAGAGCAAGATTTGATCCTCGGCAGCAGCAGCAGGGCAGCTTTGTGTGCCCGGGCAGCGCCACGCTGCTGGGGAGCGCTGGGGACGGTGCTCAGCAGGGCTCTGGAGCTGACCCTGCGCCTAGCTGGAGGGGTGCAGGTGTTTTGCAAGGATCTGGGTGCCCTGGGGGGAGTTGGGGGGCTGAGCGAGCGGAGGGACCCGCAGGCACGGCTGATCCGTGCAGGCACACGCATGGGGGAAGGCGGGATGCTGGAGGCTGGGATGGGGTTTGCTGATGGTGCTGTGCGGGGACGTGGTGCGGGACCTGGGACGTGGTGCCACCAGCGCTGCGTTCTTGAGCTGGGCTTCCCGTTCCTCCCACTACAAGTGATTTAGAATCACAGAATGTTTTGGGTTGGAAGGGACCTTTAGATGATTCAGGTTCCCTGGAGCATGAAGCAATTAGCGTCTGCCCTGTGCCTGCTGCGAGACCCCGGGGACCAGCACCGCTCTGGGCTGCTGTGGTCCTGGGTGCACCGTGCGTCCTCCATGGAAACCGGGCGGCATCGGCGCACGAGCTGCTCGGAAAGCTCTTAATTGCCCGCACGTGCTGTTTTGTGCTGGAAACATCACAAGAGGGGAGGGACTCGCCCCGCTGGAGAGAAGCAAATTGCAGCGACGGGGACGGCCTGAGCCGCTCTGTTTGCTTGTGCCGTGCGTGTCTGGGTGGACGCTGGTCTGCGCCGCGTTGTGTTTGTGCCACGGATGAAGTGCAGCGCACGTGCCCAGCGCGCCGTAGCGCCGCAGCAGTCCGTGCAGCTATGGAGGGGACGGTCACGGGGTGTCTGGCACTCACTCGCTGTGCGATTGAGGAAAGGCTGGGAGAGTTGGGGGTGTTCAGCCTGGAGAAGAGAAGGCTGTGGGCAGAGCTGAGTGCGGCCGGTCAGGGCTTCAAGGGGGCCCAGAGGAAAGGGGGGGACAAGCTTTTTAGTAGGGCCAGCTGTCCAGGCCAGGTTGGACGGGGCTGTGAGCAACCTGATGTGGTTCAAGGTGTCCCTGCTCCTGCAGGGGGGTTGGGCTGGGTGACCTCCGGGGGTCCCTTCCCACCCAAACCATTCTGTGATTCCATGATTCCATGATTGGGGTGGGGGCTGGACCTGGTGGGTGGCAGCACGGCTGCGCCTGTCTCCAGCGCTGTGAAATGGGTGACGTGAGGAAGTGGAGGGTTTCATGAGTGCACATCTTCCGTTAACTTAAAGGGAACTTTTTTGGTTTTGTTTTTGGGTTTTTTTTTTTCTTTTCTTTTTTCTTTTCCCCAGTGCTACTTTTGAAACTTTCTACCCTTGGCATTGTTTTTAAAGACCCCCATGCCAGCCCAGCACCTGCGTGTGGCCGCATAAGACCTATTGCAGTCGATAGATTGCCTAAGGACTTTGACAAATTGCGGAGTTGAAATCGCCCTTGTGATAAGTTGATGTTTATCTGCAGTTCTTAACCCCCCCCAGGAAAGCTTTGTTTTTATTTTCTGAAGGCACTGAACAAGAAGGAGGCTGTAATAGAATGTCAGTGTTCCTCCGTGGGGTTACTGCTCCAGATCGAGAGCTCTCGTACTGTTCGCCTGTCTCAAGCAATTGTCAACCATCCCTTGGGAATCGCTGGAAGGAATTCGGGGCTCCCTGAGTCCCAGGACTTGTAGCTGTCTTGACAGATTGCAACCAGGATTTCAGTTTGTCCGGTGCTTGATTCTCCTCCTAAAAGAAATATCATGGGTAGCCTGGGGCGCTTCTGGCTTCTTTACAGCTTGCTGCACCCTGGGCTCATGTGCTGCAGGGCTGCCTGGGAAGAGACGGGCTTTGCTCCCAAATTTGCTTTTTTTTTTTTTTTTTCTTTCCTTTTTTTCCTTCTTGGAGGTTACAGTTTTCGTTCTGTACCGGCCTTGATGGCACATCCCTTCACGCTTTCTGCTCTCCACTAATGTGAAGTTCTGAGCAAGCCCACATAACTGCTGCTCGCAGTTCCAGGCGGCGCGGGCGAAACGCATTCGCAGCCCGTCTCCGGGGAGGGCAGTGGGGGACGGAAAGGCAGCAGAGCACTGCGCTGTGAAACACGGCCCACCGGGCACGGCGCAAGCACACGCAGGCTTCTCTGCAGCAGGGCGGGATTTTGGGATGCTGAAGGCTTTAGAGGGGACCTGCTCCCTTGGCTGGATGGAAAGCCCCTCTGCCGAAGGGCTTTGGGTAACTCGGGCTGAAGTGGCGTCAAACCTCGAGGTGCAAGATGAGCCTCACGTAGAGAGTTTCCAATGGTCTTGTGGCGATAAAGTCATCGAGGCTTCTTGAATGCTGCTCTTGGACCCATGTCCTGCTGCCGGCGAGGCAAGGGGCTGAAGGAGCCGGGAAAGAGCTCCAGCAATCGTGCAAAGGAATGAAGGGTGCGTATTGCTGCAGGCTGTGGTTCTTGCTACTGGTTTGCAGCTGGCACCGTGGTTTGATGCAATGGGCATCCCTGGGCTGGAGATGTGCTCAGGGCTGGGGTTCAGCTGCAGAACCTCGTGGGGAACGCTGCTCAGTGTCGTGTCCTTGGAAGGTGCCTGCGGAGCCCCGTGGTGCTGTCGGCACAGCCCTGGCCTTGCAGCAGGTTACTTCCCATGAGGAGACCCAAAGGTGGCTGCTGGGCTTTACCATGCAGCCAGGGAACTCCTGGGTTAGTTTAGCTCCCCGTGTTCCTTTTTTTTAAATAGATTTTCTTAGCCCATTTGTGAATTTGAATTTACTTCAGGGTCACACAAGTCCTTGCTTCCATCTCGCTATTACAGGAGCCATTAACTCCGCAGTAGCCTGCTCCCGATGGATGCTGAAGGTGAGCGGGTGCTTTTGTCCTGAGCACGGGCTTTGGGCTTGGTGTCGCAGGCGCAGGGGACAGAGATGGGATGCAGGGGGTGTCCCCAGAAGCGTTGGCTGCCTGGCTGGCTGTGGCTTGGCAGCTTTAGCTTTGTGCTCTGGGTTTCCCTCCCCTCCTCACCCCTCCCTGCCTGGTGCAGGCAAAGCACCAGCACCCAGGGACGGCCCCAGGAGCCTCAAGGGGCTCTGCAGCTGCCGAGGCTGCACTTGAACTCTTAGGGTGGGAACGCACCAAATCCCTGCCCGTACGTGCTGGCACATCCTTTCCTGCCTTCAGCAGGTTTTTCAGAAAAGAGCTTGCTGGTTCCTGTGTTCCCGCAGCGCCTGGGCGTGCCTGCGCCCTGCCGTCACGCTGGGAACGATGGTGGAGGATCACATCCTGACATTTTCGTTTCCAGGGTGCCCGTGGGCCCCCGCAGCCTGTGCTTGGGCAGATGGGAGGTGGGAGCGTGGCTCAGGCTCTCGCTTGAGGCTGCTGCAAACCTTCGTCTCTGCAGAAAGCCATCTGCAACCGCGTGTTCCTGGTGCCTCCTCGGAGCTCCCGGCTCCCCCGACGCTGTTCTTGCTCTCTCCGTCTTGCGTGTTGGCATGCTTTCCTCCCGAGTCTCCCAGAGAGGCGTGCTCTGGTCCTCTCCTGCAGGAAGCACCTTACTTCCCCCCCCTTTAGATGGCCGATAATGGGCACCGTGGTCCTGCTCCCCCCCAGCGCAGGTCTTGCAGCTGCTCCAACCCCATGGAGCATCCTCCTGGCCTGGACTCTGGCCCCCGTCCTGAGTCGGCTCAGCCTGCGCTCCGGCACTTTGTCCAAACCCATCCATTGCCTTTCCACTTAAATGCTCTAAACCCTGGGAGCCTTTGGGAAGCTCCCATGAGCTGCCTCTCCACGATGGGATCGTGTTTTCCCGTTACTCGTTAGCGACGTTTCCATGTGTGACCTGCAGGTAAAGCCCACCTTTGCGCCAAGCCTGTCCTTTTGCTTCTTAAGAGGAAACTCCCCAAACTCTGGGGCAGCAGCAGCCGTCGCCCTCCCAGTGAGCCCACGCGAACGGTTTCTGACACGGGGTGGGACGCGTTGACTGGGTTCGCAGTGACTGATTTATTAGTCATGCAGCCGGCTGGCTGCTTGTGTGATTTTCTTTTTTTTTTTTTTACTGCTTTGAGCTATAATTTTCCAAGCTAAGGAGGAGTCATCCAGCAGAAATTTAACTTCAGGTGCTGCCTGGGTCAGCCTGCTGGAAGCTGGTTGAGGAGCACCCCAGGTTTTTAAGGGGGTGCTTGGCTTGGGTAGGCAGAGACGTGAATACTGGAAATAGGATGTGATTTTTCTTTTTTTTTTTTTCCAACTGCATTGCAAGAAGCAAAGAAAGGCTCAGCAGGTTAGGGTGGATTTTTTGAAAGCAGGTTTTAGGGGCTGGCTTCTTTACCCTGCTTTGTACGGGGATGTCCCTACTGCTCTGTGCCTCACCAGTCCCACTAACTGCTGGGTTTTGTGTCACCCTCTGCTGCCTGTTATTGGTGTACAGGGGTGGCTTGGGGCATCCTGCACATTGAGCCTCTTGGCTGTAGGGACCATCTCCACCTGCACCATCACTGCTAGCGGGAACTCAGGACCAAAGGGTCCTGCATTTCCCCAGCCAAAGCAGGGCTGGACAGAGGCGGTGTTACCTGGTCGATAAACCAGCTAAAGCCTGTCTCTTCTGATTTCAGAATGTAACACAAACAGTCGAAGAAGAAAAACCCGAGCCTCCGACTATCCAAGAGATCAAACAGAAAATTGAAAAATACAACGCAAAAGTTACAAACTGCCTGTTGATGAAGCTGGTACGTATGGGGCTCTACCTGGGTAATGCGCAGGGAGCCGGTTCCTCTGGGCTGTGAACCGAGCCGGGATGGAGGAAGGCATCTCCAGGGCTTGTGGCTGTGGAGATGTTCTTGTCTTCCTTACTCCATCTGCTTTTTCTCCTGCTTGGGTTCCTTAGCTTTGGTCACCGACTTGAGATAACACTTCCCTGCCTCCATCGCTTCTCAACTGGGAGCACTGGCACGGCAGTCTCTGTGCTGGGAATGAGTTCCCTCAAACAGAGGAGCCCGCGTTGTTCTGGCGGGGCTGAGTTGTGCTCGGGCTGCGAGGCTGCGGTTCGGCAGCTGCCACGAAGTGGATTCAGAAACGCAAAGTGGGTTTAAAAACACAAAGTGGATTTAGAAACACAAAGCCTTTCTAGAAGGAGTTGCTTTTCTCCTCTCCTCTGCCGTGAGTTGGTGCGGGGGCGGCGGGGCGGGGGTTCGGCGCCTGCCACGAAGTGGATTCAGAAACGCAAAGTGGGTTTAAAAACACAAAGTGGATTTAGAAACACAAAGCCTTTCTAGAAGGAGTTGCTTTTCTCCTCTCCTCTGCCAGGCTTGCTTAAGCAGGGATGTGGGAACCGCAGAGGATGCCTTGTGTTGTGAAGCTTTGATTGCAAACTTGTTTATCATCACCTGTAAGTAAAGCCTTGATGATACGGGATGAGGAGACAAGGACATCGCCTCTTTTACAAACTGGAGTACCGCAAAGGTACAAACATCGCAGGATCTTACAGAGACAGGGGGAAAAGCTTCTTAAAGAGTGAAATAATTAAATTGTAGGACTTCCAGGAACAGCAGCTAACTGGTGCTTGCTAATGTCTGAAAATAAACCTGCAATTTATTTAAAATAGTAGATTTTACAACAGTTTCCTTTGTGAAGGTTGCACAGCAATTTCTCGCCCGTTGATTTTTATCAGCTCCTGATTTACAGGAGTCGTTCGGGACCCAAATGTTTGCTCTCGAGTTACTTTTCTTGAAGCTTCGTGAAAATACCATCTTGAGACTTGGCACAGCCTTGGGACTTGGCTGGGCCGAGCCACTGGTCATGGCCCTTGGTTGGGACCATGGGCCAGTGCTGCTGGCACCTGAGGCGGAGCCCTGGGCTCATTCCCGCCTGGCTCCTGCGGATGGGCTGAAGGGAGCCTGGCTTTTCTCCTGATTTTTGCAGAGCTGAGGGGTAGGGTAAGGGACCTCCCTCTGGCCCAAGACAGGCTGATCTTGAGCGATGGTTTGTTACATGGAGATGGGAGAATCCCACAAGCAGGGAATAAAACGTGCAGGATATGGTTGGGAGATCCCACTGAGCCGGAGGGGTAGAGACCTTCCCAGAGGTTTCAAATCTTCGCTTAAGCACAAGTACAAATCACATGTAATGGTTTCCATAACTGACTTGTTGGTTTTAAATAAGACAAGATCGCACAGACACGAGGAAGGTTTGAGTCATTACCAAGTGGAAGAAGCAGGAGAAAATCAGTAGTGACTAACCCGAAATTACTGGTTACTTTTCACATGATTAATAAGAAACCCTCAAACTCCTGGCAGTACTGAGGGGTGGAAAGTCCTGCAGCCACCCCGCAGGCTGCAGCACTGTAGACCAGAAAGCCCCCTTGTAGGGGGCGTAAAGAGTGGAAAGGGTGCCTGGAGCCTGACCCCCCTCTCCTTTGCTTTAGAATGACGATGGGACGTACACGGGCTTCATTAAAGTGCATTTGAAACTGTGCCGCCCAGTGACGGTACCGGCGGGGATCCGGCCGCAGTCCATCTACGATGCCCTGAAGGAGGTGAACCTGGCCGAAATGACGGACAAGAGAACCTCGTTCTACTTGCCGCTGGATGCCATCAAGCAGCTCCACATCAGCAGCACCACCACGGTGAGCGAGGTGATCCAGGGGCTCCTGAAGAAGTTCATGGTGGTGGATAATCCTCAGAAGTTTGCACTTTTCAAGGAGATGCGGAAGGATGGGCAAGGTGAGTTCGTGCCCTCGGACCCGCCAGCTTCCCTGCGGCTCATCCGGTTTGCTTACAATTTCTGTGTTGCAGAAACGTAGATCTCTTGCAGTGGGAGCTTCAATTCACCTGAGTAAAGATAATTTCTATTAAATCTACAGTCTCGGGGGCATTCATCTAGGACTCGGTGGGGTCAGGCCACGTCTGAATTGCAGATGAACAAATGGCCTGACCTCCAGAAGAGGTGATGCCGCTTCCGTTAACGGGGAATTCCTCGTTTTCGGAAAGGGGCTGAAGTCACCTAGGACCTAACAGAGATCGTAATGGATCTCTGATAGAGACCCAACTACTTCCACTGTGATCCTGAGCAGCACAAACTGCTTTTACATGCTCTGATGGACCTCCTGGGCTTTCCTCTGCCCGGGCAGCCGCGGGCTGACTCTGGATGTCTGCTGTCCCCTTGCAGTGCTCTTCCAGAAGCTCCCTCTCACCGAGTACCCCCTGTACCTCCGGCTGCTGGCGGGCCCCGACACAGATGTGCTCAGTTTTGTGCTGAAGGAAAACGAAACAGGGGAAGTTGAGGTACGTCGGGGGCCCTTTCCCTTGTTTTTTACGTGAATGTTAACAGCATTGGGGGGCACGGGGCAGTGCTGCAGAGCTGGGAGATGCAAGGCTGCTTCCCTCTGGTGGGGCTGGGCTTGCCATCCAAAGGGTGATACCAGCTTTTCTCCAAACTGAAATTATCAGCTCAATGGACTGCTTGGACCTTACTTTAAAAAAAAAAAAACAAACCCACAATCACTTATTGCTCCTCAAGTATGTTGATTTTAAAAAAAAATTAAACTCGAGCTGTGAAAATGCTGAGGCCAGTTTTGATGGCCAAACCCTAATCTGTTTACAGAACCAAGCAACGCCACCCCACAGTTAATCCTCAGTAATTAGATTAGCTAAACACTGTTATAAGTAATCCACTAATTCAAGCAGAAGCCAGGGACACTCAGGTAATAAATTCGCAGTCAGTTTTCGGTTGCAGTCATAGAATCACAGAATGGTTTGGGTGGGAAGGGACCCCCAGAGGTCACCCAGCCCAACCCCCCTGCAGGAGCAGGGACACCTTGAACCACATCAGGTTGCTCACAGCCCCGGCCAACCTGGCCTGGAATGTTCCCAGGGATGGGGCCTCCACCCCCTCTCGGGGCAACCCCTGCCAGGGTTTCACCACCCTCACGGCAAAGAATTTCTGCCTTAGATCCAGTCTGCCTAAGGTCCAAAAAGACTGCACTGTCAAGGATTTTGGTAATTTAAAATCTAATTGGCTGTTCTGCAAATGTATTTTAATTTTCA